CTGACTCGCTGTTTAACCTGGTCGTTGCCAGGGATCATTAAAGCGAGGTGGAGTCTAAAGGTCCAGGAGGCGGAGGCATTGATCAATCGATCGATAATTATATCGATTTCTTTCTCAATCGGCCCCTTTCACCTCCGTTGTTCGCGAACCTTCACCACGAAGGTCACGGAAAGTACGATCCGGCCTCTTCTGAAATGGCCAGTCGAGGTAGTGAGGCATTGCGTATGGATCTGAAGAATATTGGACTTCATATCTCCGTCTACCTCTACTCAAGAAGCATGCCATGTCTTGTCAACAAAGGACTACGTAGTAAAAGTTTTCTGTTGAATCAACAGCGATTTTTTGATGTGCAGATTAAGGAGCCGAAATGCTCAAATTAATTTCGTGGAATTAATTTCTGTGAAATTAAAAGCGAACTCTGCTCGAAACTAGTAACGCTTTGCGGCTGGTTTCCGGCCAATTCCGTCATAAGGAAAAGTGATTCACTGGGGCGCACGTCGAACAAGTTATCGACGACGAGTCACGTTCACTCACACACAATCAAAGAAAGACATAGTGTCAACATCTCGTGGCGGCCGTCCTTCGCTCGACACAATGTCGTGCCGAAGTTCATTGCACAGACCAGACGTGCACAAGGAAGGAAGGAAGCAACGAGGTCAGCGCGGTAAGATCCAGATCGCATCAACGGCCGACCGTGGGAATCTCTCCGTATAGCAGAATTTCGGAGGATGTGGCCGTCGTTCGGCGATGACCCTATTCCGAGTCGAATTCGGCCTCGCCGATCCGCTGCAAATGCCTTAACCTCAACAACACAACCGTCGATCGGCCAATGGTGCTGTTCAAATGTTTGTTCTGTCGACCTCAAGGTCACCCATCAGTGATCTTCAGGACGTGCTCGGCTCGGCCAGTGGTGCGTAAACATATCCGCATCGTCCAGTTTACTTTTCTGATCATAGTTTCGCGAGAAAGCTGTGTGCAGCCGACTCCGTTGTGCTGAGGAAATGTAGGAACCAGTTAATCAGCGACGTGTTAGCGTGATCGGCTATCGCTATCCGTCACGTACGATAAACGTCGCACATAAAACAAACATATGATTAAGGCGTAATATCAGAATTATATAAAAGCAACCTCGTGAAACTCATGC